AGGCGGGATGCGCGGTAAGTACATGACGGGACTAACTACGATGTCCATAGCGCGGACCGCCCTCCGCCGCGGCGTACCTCGCGCACACGAGGCCCCCGCGCCGCCCACCATCGACGACGTGCCGAAGAGCGTGGCGCCCGCGCCGTACGCCTCCCTGGGCGCCCTCTCGCGGTGTTCGCGCGCTCGCCGCTGGCGGTGTCGTCGCAGACAGGCCCGTACGCGCTGGGGCACCGTGCAGCGCCTGGACACTTCTTAGCGTCCCGCACGCGACGTCGAGAGCGCGCCACGCACCTCCTGGAGCCCGACGTATGCGTCTGCGACGTGCTGGAGGGCATATCGCACCTCCCGCGACGTCCGCGCTCCCAATCGTCTCTGTTGTCGCGGGAAGCCCCATACGCCCCAGGGCACCTCCACGACTCTCAGCCTCCCGTACGCGCCCTCGAGAGCGCGCCACACACCTCGCCGAGCCCGCCGCACACGCCCGCGCGTCGTGCCCGACGCGTACGCGTCCTAATCACGGCCTACCCTATCTCGGGTCCCGCGGGGGGTGCCCGGACCCCCCCAAATCGGGCCCGCGGCCGCGATATCGCGCTATCCCCCACGCGTGCGCGGCGCGACGCCGCTCCGCATCGCAGAGCCCGGTCCCACGCATCCGTGTGCCGCTTCGGGCGGCGCCAGCACGCACAGCCGGGGCGCAGTACTCGCCGGCGTGTGTGGGCGGCGCGACAGTCCGCGCGGATCACGGCGAGGCGCGCGGGGCGGGTGTGCGGAGGCGCGGGGAGTGCGTGGGTGAAAGCGGGGAGGCGTGCGGTGCGTAGGGGGCGCGCTAGAGCAGGGACAAGGCGACGGGCCCGCGAAGTCGGCGACGGCGGGGCGCGTTCTGGCGACGTGCCCGCGCCGTGAGCAATGTCGTGCGTGCTTCGGGTCTACGTGGGCGTCCGGGAGAGCCGGTATAGGTGGCCTGTAGATGCGAGGGGCGGCTCCGGCTGGCCTGCGAAGTGGACGCCGAGGTCGTCTAGAATGCGACATGGCCAGTGCTATTCCCGTGCGAATGGGCCCCAAACTCACCGCATTTGTCCTGAAGTAGCCCGGGCCCAGCCAGAGAAGATTTGCGCGGGGGCGTGGCGGAATACGCGAGATAACCTTTTGGTGGGGAGCTCATTTTCGGCTCGGCGCCACATCGTTCGAGTCAGAACCGGTCGCACGCGCCTGGAAGCGGGTTGGGATGGCAGGTAGGCCCTCTGGGAGTGTTCCTGTCAGATTACGAGGCAATAGGCGACGGGACAGGCGAGGGACGCGCGATACAATGTATTTTGCACCTGAAAACCAATGAAATGAGCGAAAATGAGCGATATTTTTTCTCCTCTGATTGCGCCCAAACTCACAGGGTATATGCTCCGGCGTTCATGGAACCCTCGCATCGCATTCACGAAGGAATCGGGCGCGTTGTCGAAGCGCGAGGTCGACGTCATGTTGGCGGGCCTGGCCCGAGTCAACGCCGCGGGATGCGCCCGATAAACGTCGTCGTATGGCCGGAATGTCGGTATGGGCTGTCGAAGAGTGTTCGGGATAGGCGGAAGACAGACGCAGAGGCCGGCACGGTCGGTTTTGGTTGGGGCGCGCGCATATTTGTGGCGGGGATATCTGAAAAATGGTCACCGTCAACGCCATTCGCATGGGCGCGGGCTGAAAATGCACCTGGCACGAGAACGGATGTGGTACAACCTGTGGTGCAGCGGTCGTGCGCTCTAGACGAGGCGTCCATGCGGTAGGAGGAGTCGAAGGCGGAAAGGGGGTCGCCGGCAAAAGTCCGACATAGCAGGCGAAGGACGCATGCAGCGGCTTCGCGCGTGCATGGACGTCGTATTGAGAGTCCTATCGGCACCATGAATGCGTTTCGGAGTGGGGCATCGCCGGCGCACGCGCTGCACGATGTGTTGTATAGGGTACATGTAGGAAGACCTGTGAAGCGATTGTGAGCGAAGTTTGCATCGAGGCGAGCTGAAGAATGACAGGCTGTGAGATCGGATGGATATCTACGATATAGTATACATCCTGCGTTAGCCAGGTGCAAGCGGATACCGCGAGGGACGACGGAGAGAGGTGGACGTACATATGAGAGTGTGTCGAGCACAGCGCACGTAGGACGCTCTCTGCGGCTTAGTGCTCGTAGCTGCGGTAACATATAGTTGTATTCTACGGTTTGCCACAGTATGGGGGCGAGGCGTCGAGATGCGGAGGAGGCTCGAGGTGTTGACGTCGCGCGGAGGAGTGCGAAAGATCGTGTTTGCGCACGCGGTGGGTGCATGCGTTTGCGCCGGAGATAAGTGCCCACGGAAGCGCGGATAGCATCGAGCGAGGCCAGCGAGTCGATCTGCTCCGAGGTGCAGGGGACAGATGCGCGGGACAGGGCGCGCTGCGGGGGAGAGACACGGCGTGAGGCAGGGACAGGCATAGCACGAACGACGCGGGCACTCACACATCGTTGGAGTTCCCTCGCGCCCGGGGCCTGCACGGTAAGGATGATAGTAAGTACTACAGAGGCTGCCTACTTGCTAAGCTCAAGTTGCCTGGTCGCGGACGGAAGACTGAGAGGGCGCGAGAGAGCACGGTGGTCAGAGAAGCGCCTGTCCGAGCGACAGGCGATGACGTCACGCGCGCGAGAGGCGGCGTCTGTCCCTTGCAGTTCTGTCTTTGCGTTGCTTGCCCGCGCTCTCGTCGAATCCACTGCACCGTCTGCCCTCGCTCGACACGTCTGCCTACTGACCCGCCGATGTATACCGCGAGCATGAGCGGGCTGCCCACGTGGGAGGCGTTGCGGTGATGGATCGCGGTCTGCCTCGCTCTCCGCCTCCACCGCACAACATTCCTGTCCTTCATCCCGCCTCCATCCTCAGTCCTCTCCCTCCCCACACCTGCCGCCATGCTGCCGGCGCTGCTGCTCTCCCCGACGCTCCTTCTCCCCCTCCTCGCCGTCCTTGGCCCCGCCCCGGCGCGGGCGGGCGATGTGCAGTTCGGCGGAGGGTGCAACCCGGACCACCAGAAGCTGCAGGAGGGCACGTTCCAGTTCCAGACGGACTGCGAC